GTATGCAAACAATATACAGTTAAAATTTCTACCATTTTTAAGTCTTTTGAAAATACATGTTTTTGTTAAATATACTTTTGACAATTTTACAAATTCATTCGAAATAAGTAAAAATAGTAAGACGTATGTAAATACGTGACACGTTCACTACTTGTATTGAGTAAAAATGGGCGAGTTATTTTCAATAATTATACCATATAATTTGCATGCAAAAAGCTTTAACTTACTCAATTTATATTTGTAAAGAAATCATCTCAATTTATGTGCATATAGATTTCACATTTTACAAAAGAAAATGAATTGAATACCCGTTCAAAAAACAAAAAGAATTCTGCGTCTTTGTTCATGAGGATTTGACAAATAGTTCTTTAAAATTTTTCAAAGAAAACTAAAGATGAGTTTGTATTTTCTGCCGACTTCCAAAAAGGAGACGGTACTCAATTCGACTGTATGTTTTTTTATGTGTGTTACCTCATAACTCTTTACTGGGTGAACCGATTTCGATGATTCTATTTTTATTTGAAAGCTGGTACTTCTCGTGTGGTCCCATATGAATCTGATCAAGGTGAGACCAAAAGTTTTTTAGTTATTCTTAATAACTTATATTGAAGTTGGCAGTAAAAAATTTTTAATTTTAAATTATAGATGTTGTGTTAAACAACTATTTATAAATCTGTGACTTCATTACCTTTCGTAGTTAAATTCGGTCGGACAAACATCTTGTTGGGTGACTTCAAAAAAGGAGTTGATTAATTCGTCTATGTTCTTTTTTAATATTTAATTTTTTATTTAATTATTAACCGATTTTAATGATTCTTTCTTATCGAATAGGTTATACTCGTACTTCAGCGACGACTCTATACCATATACATTTGTAGAAAAAGTCCACCCATAATGTTGGAAAAATAAGGGATGAGATTTTTTAATGTAAATATTTAGATAACGTTCTTGTTGTTACCTTGAGCTTGTGATATTCCTGAGTCTTCCCAAAAGAGTCAAAAACTAAATTTTCAAAAAAAAAATCCTTCTTACTATCTTCAGAAGCTATTATGTGAATATTATTTTTTTCTTTTTCGATATTTGAAGTCAGTTTTTTACTTATTTTATATATATATATATATATATATATATATATATATATATATATATTATAACCATCAAAACATATAGTAAGGGCTCAGTTATGAGCGTTCGGCGGGGCGGAGCGTTCTGCGCTTATGACAAACAAGTGGCGACCGAGTTCTACTATGACTATGATTTCGTTCTACTTTCTGTGCTAATGTATCAAAGCATCATAATACTTTTTGACCGTATTGGGAAATTAACTTTATTTATACGTGGCAGAGCCATGTTGCAACTATATTATGGTTGCAGCATAAATGTGTCGGCTCGACTGGGGTAGGATCACCCTCTCACAAAATATCAGCGTTAAATAGCAGCTTGATGCTGCTGTGTTTCGTATGGTGAGTGTAGAGAACCGGAGACCCATTTTACTGGAAATGAGTCATTCCATCGTAGTCCTCAGGAGTGACGACGCATCTGCATTTTGACTCTTGATCGAGAATAAAGGCAGATGTCTATGGGCCACAGCATCCACTTACCATCAGGTAGACTGTGTGCTCGTTTGTCACACTTATTCTATAAAAAATGGTAATTAATTCAGAAGCATATTCTTCTGATCAGGTTACAATTTTTTGGTCTTCGCGTTCTCGGGTAACTCGTTTAGAGCCGCGGCGGCATCAGAGGCAGCTGAATTACGTGGCGCAATTAAAAGTCTTTAAGAGATGACTAAATATTTGTGCCATTTGCTGTAGAGACTATCGGTGCGTGGGGTCCACGTGCAGTGAAATACTGTATCGGGGAGACTGTATGACAATTTAAATTTTTAGTTTTAGTTTTTCTTGTGTGTAACCTTTTAATTAGATTTAATTTTGTACTATTTATTAACAATTAAAGTACGTGAGGGTAATATGGCCACCTTAAACTTTGCCGCTCTATTAAATTAAAACTAGAAGGAAAATAGGGTAGAAATCGAAAGTAGTATACTATAACTATTTAATAAGAAAAAAAAATAGCAAACAAGCATTGGCAATAATTAGGAACACATCAAAAATCAAATAAAAAAAAAAAAACTGACTACACTCCACAATACTAAAATAGACTAAAATATTAATTATATAAAATCAATTGTCAAAATAGCGTCGATAAAGCAGCGCCCTTATGACCCTTTATTATTTGACTGATTGGTGAAGAGCTATCGTATCACATCGTTTTTGAGTTATAAGAACGTGACCATATTATTACCCTCACGTACCTTAGTTGTTATTAATAGGTTTAATATTAAAACAAATAGGAATAACATTCTTGCGCCACTTGCTATCAGGTGATTCAAAATACAAATAAATCATCATCACTTAAGTAAGTATCATAACAAAAGTATTCATTACACGCGAATGAAGAAGCGGGCACAGTTAGTCTATTAGAAATTAGTGAAGTCATGGCTGCCAAATAGCGTAAATTATAATATTCAAAATATTCTATGTTACGTTACGTGTTTATTTGTCGCTCAATTACGCAAATAGGCTTGAATAAATTTAATTAAAATTTTACAAAGAGGTACACAATACACATCAAGGAACAAGATACTGGTTTTAAAGTGTTCCTTTCTTTATATTGGTACACTCCCTTTATTGAGCCCGAACACAAGGTAGTGAAAAAGTACCTTATATAGAGATTTAAAATCGCTTGGACAAAAATTATGTTAGAAATGACATCATTACAGACACTCATCTCAAAATGTTCGAAGAAGTTTTTCTAGAACGACACAAAATCAATGCTCTGTATCTAAAACTTAGATCAGCGTTTACAAGAACGCACAACCGCAAACCAGCGTGAGTGTTTCATTCAATTATCAAGAAAGAAAGATTATATGAACCGATAAATACGTTTCTGGATTTACTGAGAACAACCGAGGGTATTACTTCATCGATTGATAATATGGTTAAGGCAAAAACGCAACGCAATATACAACACTACTGCATGATATATACCTTTGTTCCGTGGATTTGTCTGTCTGTTTATTTGTTTTCTTATATATCTGTTCACCACACTTGTATCGTAGAGACATTTTATATATACATTGCACATGTACTTCATACTCCAAACAATTATTTGTAGACCATTTAAACACTTGTTCCGAGCGGGATGCAAACCTATGACCCACAGCTCCTGAGTCAAATGCATTTAAGTACGAAATTCTCCATTGTGAGAAGTCATAATGTATCAAAGAAAGTACGTATGGCAATTCACTATGCTGTGTTTGTTCCTACATTAATGTATAGTAGTGAAAGTTAGGTACGGCAGAAAAAGGACGAGAGTACAATAAATGTATAAATGCGGTCATTAAGGAGTATATTTAAGGGTGACTGAATGACAGGGTGAGAAATTATGTGATAAGAGAAAAATGTTTTCTGCAAGAAGATCACCTCGACTAGGATTAAGAAAGGAATGCTTCGGTGGTTTGCAGTGATAAAACTAATTTACATTGCAAAACTAAGTGGCGGCTTCTCTGAAGTACAGTTGTATCGTGGCTCTTAATTCTATTAAAAAAAAATTACGATGTAGATACTAGAATAATCGTACATAATTTCATACTGGTGTAATGCAAGGGCTCCAGCTCAGCAGAAATGTTGCATAACCTAAAGCACTGTTATTCTGGCTTTGATGTTGGTACGAGGTATTAGGTATCGGGTGTCCATGGGCTGTCGTAGTCAATTACTATCAGTTACTATGAGTTTGTTGGTCACTTCTTCAGTTTTATAAAAAAAAGTAAGTAAGTAGCCTTGAAAGAGTGCGCGCCCTTGTTCACATTGTTGTACATAATATTACTAATTATAATTAACCATTCCGCGTTATTCAACAAAAACTCAGGTCAAGTCAAGTCAAGGCAGTCACATATGTCAACAGTATCAAAGCTTTTTACAAATTAGGTATGTCTTTAACTAGAAAATTAAGATTAAAAAGTGACAGAACAGAGTGGGCAAATAGAGACGTCGATGTGAGATTGCAATCAGTAGGTACACGCAAGGGACAACTTTCACAATTTCGATTACGCAACATAAGGGTCCTTAACATGTGAACTTGTGCCGATTTTGTAATTATGAATGTTTGTTAATTTAAATATATTATGCATCAGAGTTCTTAAGTAAGTTGTGTTGAATATTTTTATCAATAGGTACTTTTGTAAGGTGACAAAGGAGTAGCACAGTCCAGTCAATTGTAAGTGGACGCTGTGGCCCATAGACATCTACATTTATCCTCAATTAAGAATCAAAATGCAAATGTGTTGCCATCCTTGAGAACTAAGATGGAATGCCTCGTATCCAGTAAAAAGGGTCTCCGGTTCTCTACACTGACTAAACGAAACACATGTAGCATTAAGCTGCTATTTTACGCTGGTATTCTGTGAGAGCGTGGTCTTTCCACGGTCGAGCCGACTTATTTGTCAGCTGCAGCATGACTCTACCACGGGTGTTTTTGAGGGTGACGAACGAGCTTACAGTTCATCTGATGGTAAGTGGACGCTGTAGCCCATAGACACTCTACATCTATCATCAATTAATAATCAAAATGAGGAGGTTGTCACCCCTAAGAACTATGATGAAATATCTAAGATGAAAACCAGTAAAATGTGGAAATGTTGTTGCATAGTATTTTTTTTATATTTCAAGCGATTTGCAGGATCCGTGTTTACGAGAGGATTCAAGTATTTGACAGATTCACAGGTTTTTTAAATTTCTTAGATATGGAGGTTTCTTTACGATGTTTTCCTTTACCGCCCGTGCACTTGAAAAATCAGTACTTATAAAATTACAAGTAACGATTTCATTTGTGCTGACGGGAATCAAACTCTGGTCGCTCGCCTACTTTGAAATTTAAGACAAGCGCATATCCACTGAGCTACAAAACTCAATAAATATCCAGTTATAAAAAATACTCACGCAGGAGTTCATATTGCGGGAGCCATTTTACCCGCAGGATATTTCCAGTAAGCGTGCCCTCTTCTCCGCTGTTCTCATATTTCCAGATGACCCTCTGCTTCAGTTTAGAGAGTGCGTTTACTATGATGTCTTCTTTGTACTTCGGTATCGTCGCTGTCTTGATCAAGGACCCGAAGCTCAGCAGAATAACACCGTGTTCCGATTCATTCAGAAACCGCTCTATGTACTGTAAAAGTAAACATAACATATGATGATGTCCTCTTGGCCTATTTAGTGGTGATCATCATTGGATTAAAATCTTTCAACCGTACTGGAGATACTATACTCATCCTATCACTACCGGTCAAGTAAGTACTGGCGGCGCTGCGCTAACGGCTGCACGCAACGGATTCCGCTGCGTGTACTAGTGACGGGATCACAGCGCGAGACCACGGTGTGAGATCCCGTTAAATGGCTGATTTACACAGGGACAGTAACTGGCTCCATATTCGAGGCAATTCAGTGCTGACCCGCTACTGGCATAATGTAAATTGATTTGAAGTCAGTACAGCACTGCGAGACTACTGGCTGCATGTAAACAGTGCAAGTCAGTCGTCAGCGCCAGCACTGGCGCCTGTTACTGTCCCCGTGTAAATCAGCCTTTACGCAGCGGATGCGCTCTTGCAGTTTCATTAAATGAATAGATTCATAATTAAACTAATTAATGATTTTAATGTTGGTAGATGACACTATTACCAGATAAAATTATGATTGTATTAGTATATATAATTTATATTAATTTATTAAGTTTTAGTAACAGAAGCTAAAATATTACATTTTGCGTTTTATGATAGATTGTGCTGCTTTAAAAAACGTACAACAACAGATCGTCAGCGCAGTTCCCGACTGTCACAAAAGTTAATCTTTAAATTATATTTATAAATAAAGTATAAATTTTAAGGGCTTATTTTTCATATGACCATTAGCTAGTGAATGTAGTTGTGCATCTTTTGACAGTTACGCATCATAATTTCAGCCATTTTGGAGGACTAGCGTAGTTGTTATTTGACAGTCGTTTGAGTGAGTCAATGTGAGTGTATTTGTGAAAAAGAAAAAGAATTGAGTTTGTTTTTGAAAGGCAATACGCCTACGCAAATCATAGATGAGTTGGACTCCCTGTATGAGGATTCTGCACCATAATTTACCACAGTGAAATTTTGGGTAGCTAAATTTAAACATGGCAGTGAGATCTTGGGAAACGATGAACGTTAGGGACGTCCAAAAACTGCAACTACTGACGCTAAAGTTCTAAAAATCCTGCTAGACGACCGCCGAATTAAAATGAGAGAGATAGCAGAGGCTATGAAAATGGGTGCCGTGTTTGCTCACATTAGACCAAAAACGTGTTCGAATGAACATTTCCACCGCTGTGTTGGCGCAGTTTAGGCGTGATAAATCAAAGTTTTGGCGCCGATTAATAAGTGGATGAAACTTGGATACACCATTATACACCTGTGACCTGTTCAAGTTATATGACCTGTTCAAAGTTCAAATACTTTATTAAACTAAGTTTGTATAAAAAGGGTTATTATAATATTAAGGAATTTATGGATGATAATAAACCCTGGAAATGAGGTGATCGCTACCAAGCTATTTCTAATTTGTTGTGTTGTTAATTTGTGTAACATCATGATTGTAAACTGTTATTAAAAAAAAATGTTGTTTCTTCCCAGGACAGAGGTTTTTTCCGAACCAGTGGTAATCAAACAAAAGAGTGACTTTCAATAAGTATTATTTATAATCTATATTGAATAAAAAAGTTTCTGTTTCTGTTACACCCGAAGCAAAAATACCGTCTAAACAGTGGACTGCAAAAGGGGAACCGGCTCCAAAAAAAGCAATAATTGTTTTTTCGGCTGGGAAAGCGATGGCGACTGTTTTTTTGCCATGGAGTAATCTTAATCGATTATCTTCAAAAAGTAAACACCATTACAGGAACATACTACGGATAATTACTTGACAAACTGAAGGCAGAAATTGCGGAAATACATTTGTAGAAAAAGAAAATCCTGCTTCACCATGACAACGCGTCGTCTCACACCTCAGCGGTTACCATGGCGAAACTCCACGAATTACGGTTTGAACTGCTTAACCATTCGCCTTACTCACCGGATCTAGCCCCCAGCGACTTCTTTTTGTTTCCTCATCTAAAAATTGCGCTCGGAATACAGAGATTTTCATCAAACGAGGTAATCACCTTCGTGAACAATTATTTTGCAGAGAAAAACGCTAATTTCTATTTGGACGGGTTAGAGAGATGGGAGCATCGCTGGGAGAAGAGTGTAGAGTTACAAGGAGATTATGTATAAAAATAAAAGTATCTTTGTTAGGTCGGAAATTTTTCAGATCATCCACCCTATATGTTTGATCTTATACCTTGTGATTGTCACAGTCTTGCTGCTAATGTATATACAATATAAAAACCTTTTTTGTGGTAACATACAAATTATTTTTAATTTTGATTCGACCCAGGACCACAAGCACAGAATAAATAATAGTACTACGTACCCTATGAACTACTAGTTTGCAGAAATGATTGCGTATTCCCGCAGAACCCTTAGTCCAGCAATTCACTGTGCGACCGTCCAATAAATTGGATTGATATCTGTGTCAACACTTATTTTATCAAGCTTTGTCAGTTTTAAAAAATATTATGCTTGTTATTATGAAGTAAATACGCAAAAGGAAAATTAAATATCGTCGTAAAATAATGTTAGTGACAGGCGTAACGAAATTCGATAACTTAACAATAAACCCCGATAAATAAAGCCCACATTCGACACTGAATTGGTAATGTTTCGGCATTATTGATTGAGATAGATCGGCAATCATAAAAAGAACCGGCAAGTTCGAGTCGAACTCTCACATGAAGGGTTCCGTACCATCGTAAAAGAAGTTTCCGCAACAGAAATACACATTCTGTGATAATTTCAACTGTCTACCTATTAGATACAGCCCGCTGACATACAGACGGAAGGACAGCGGAGGCTTAGTAATAGGATCCCGTTGGTTAGCCTTTGGGTTCAGAACCCTAAAAAAACATTTGTCATCGTTTGTACCAATTGATAATATAGTCCTATTTAGTCACTTAAGCCACAGATTGTTATTTTAGACAGACAGCGAATTATGGTCAGGGCTATCCTAGTTGATTCTATGCGTGCAAAGATATCGGCATAAGAACAGGATTAACTAATATTAGTTAGGCTATATAGCCCAGCGGGTCAGTAGGCTGAAGTAGCTGGCAAATGGGTGGTTATGTAGCTAGAAGAAGCGACAACCGATAGGAAAGAAAGATTCTGGCAGAAGAATGGGAGATGGTTTTTACTGGAAACCCTTTTTACTGGAAAAGAGGCATTCTATCTTAGTCCTCACGGGTGACAACGCATCTGCATTTTGATTCGCAAACGAGGATAAATGTAGATGTCTATGGGCCACAGCAACCACTTACCATTCAGGTGGACTGTGTGCTCGTTTGTCACCCTATCCTATAAAAAAAAAGCCTCATGCAGATGGGCAAGCAAATTATGGGAGGGCCTATATCCAGCAGTGGACTCGTAATAGGCTGTGATGATAGTGTGTGATAGTATACAGAGCATAATATATACGTTGCTTTAGCATAGAATGATATAATCAGTTCAATATAAAATAAAATGCATTCATTATTATTCTTAAAAAAATTGAGATATTAAATTAATTAACACTAAATGACAGTCATCTGCGATAAGAATTATAAGCGAAAAAAACATAATTTCAATTTTATTCTCTTCGCAATTAATAATTTAACACTATATTTTAACAGATTGTAAGCCATTGAGATTTTCTTATCTTAATGTTGATAACTTCATGGGCTTACCTTTGTATCTGGGCTAATTGTTTAAACACTTATGTCGAAACATTCTTATGTAAAGGCCCATTGTTTAATTAAGCAATAAAAATCTACTGCAGACTTGATTTCAATAATGAAATCTTAAAGGGAAAACGATTTTTAGGGTTCCGTGCCTAAAGGGTAACCAACGGGACCCTATTACTAAGCCTGCGCTGTCCGTCCGTCCGTCCGTTCGTCTGTCTATCTGTCAGCGGGCTGTATCTCATGATCCGTGAAAGGTAGACTGTTGAAAATTTTCACAGAATGTGTATTTCTGTTGCTGCTATAACAACAAATAATAAAAATAAAAATAAATTAAATATTAAAGGGGGGTACGGAACCCTTCCAAACTACGTTACAAAAATAAGTGATATTCATTCTGTAAATACTAGGAACAGACACGAGCTAGTAGTACCAGTTACTCGACTCCATCGAGTCAGTAATTCATTCTTGGGGCGATGTATACGCTTTTAGAACAAAATTCCAGAATATATACAAAATTTGACCTGCTCAAAGTTCAAAAACTTTAAACTAAGTTTGTATAAAAAGGATTATTATAATATTAAAGAAATTATGGATGATAACCCCTGGGAATGCTGTGATCGCTACCAAGATATTTCTAATTTGTTGTTGTTAATTGTGTAACATAGGTACATGATTGTAAGCTGTTAATCAAAAAAAGTCCCGCTAGGTTCCTTGCTTGTTCTTCCCAGGACAGAGGTGTTTTTTTTCGAACCAGTGGTAATTAAACAAAAGAGTGACTTTCAATAAGTATTATTTATAATCTATATTATTGAATAAAAAAAGTTTCTGTTTCTTCATAAGCGAGTCCGACTCGCACTTGCCGGTTATTGTTTTTATAATCCGCTTTATTGTTCGCTTTATTTTGACATTTGGTTTTGTTGTATTACGTAAATATATCAGTATCAAATATAAGAATATCTGAATTAAAAGTCTGCCTCGTTGGTGTAATGTTTATAAACGCAACTGCTGATCATGACGTCACAAGTCAGTTATAGGGTTTTGGAACGAAGTTCCTTATCGGACGGTACGGGTTTGGCGTCACTACCCCTTGTGTCATAGTGTATAGTGCCACCAACTTATCTGTTCAGTTGACAGCGTCGCTAGTGGAGTGCTTACTATTGCCATTTAAGAAATTCACACAGGAATGAGGTAACTACATATTCATTACACATAATATAAAATAAAACAAATTTCGTGTTAATATATTAAAATTAGTGAGAAGTAGTGTTATTATTTATATTTTATAAAAATAATTGTGGTCGTGATCTCGGAGTTCAAGCGGCCGAATTCCAAGAATTTCTGTTTTGAAAAATGTACCCGCGTAGCTAACGCGACTCAATAATTCCAATAATTCATCTTCTGAGTCACTAGAATCGCTTTCACCATTGCTGACACTCTATAATAAAGGGTTCATTTAAATACGCGTCTTTTAGTCTGTATTCATTTTCAATTTTTTTTACATGATTACCAATGTTTCCACTGCACCGGTGTAATTTTATGAAATTAATCTTCAATTAATTGGGGCATTAGAACATTAGAAACACTAACTACAAAGCTAGGTACTTAGATGAATTGCAGTAAATTGAGATATTTTTTTTACTATGTTTCACAAGTACATTATTTGGTGATTTTAATTTTCCATATCTGGCAATACTAACCTATCGCGACAGCAACGCGTTCATACAGCTTTTTAAATTGTATAGTTGGGACTTGTACACGTTTCTCTCGTTTTAAGACCTTTAGGCATTTTATTTACACCTTTTAAAAATACTCACCTGATAGCTCAGAATAAATAATAACTGACAGCAAAATGTCATTTACAAAATGGCGGCTTTAGTTCCAATTTTGTCCACCTGAACAGATAAGTTGGTGGCACTATAAGTATTTTATTTTAAATGACGCTTCATTTTAATGGACGCTAATAATTAATTTATTTATATTTGTTAATCAATAATATAATACGTTTATCAATAACAATATACTATGAAAGGAACTTCGTTCCAACCGAGTGTTCCACGACACTCACGCCCAGAGTCAGAAAGTTGGCGGTGTTTCACCTTCTGTGCCTCGGTAAGCACATAAAGCGGTTGGTCTTGGGCCAAATTCTTCTCCGCTCGTGTCGGATTGTCGTTCCATTGGTCTATGAGAGTGAGGGAATAGAGAGTGCACCTGTACTTGCGTACACACTCGTGTACTATAATTCTGTTCTGTGCAGATGGCTAGCTCTCTGTTGAGAGCCACCGTGATCGAAATTCAGTCTGGAGGACATTATTATTTGGAGGATATTAATAATTATTCGGTTTTATGAACTATGAATTATAAGCTGTGTTGTACAGGGTTATTTTCAAAGAGTAGCCAAATTTTCAACTTAAATTCAAATATATAAACAATGATATACCGTTATTGCAGTTTTTGAAAATACGAGTAAATAAGGCTTCTAATTTTATTTGAAATTATCCCAAATTTAATGTGATTTATGGGCAACAACGCTTTTGTCTACCGATCGACCTTTACGGATGTGTGTGCGCGCAGTAAAATCAGTTAAATAATGCATTACCACCCGTTGTGAATTTAACAGGTAAACCGGACAGAATGTTTAAGATATTTTTAAATTAATTATTCTTCACCATTTGCGTATATTACTTATTCTGAACCTTCTCTGCAAATTTGGCCGGTTATTGCAAAATAATCCTGTATATTGTATTTTTTTTTGTTGATAATGCTCGAGAATGAGTTGCACAATTTCACACATCCATAAATCATTCAAAGATAAGCAGTTTTTCTTACAATGTTTTCCTTTACCGCAAAGTACGTTGTTTGTGTGTGACGTAATAGATGTAACATTTTAAAGCTTTTCCAGTACATATTTTATGGCAAGGCGTAGTCGTTGCCTTGTTTGTTGACAATGAAGATCCGAGTCGTCTACTGTGCTTCGACCTTGCTGATATTAGGAACTACTAGCTGTTCCCCGCGACTTCGCCTATGTGTAATTTAGGGTTTTAATTATGTTGCGCGGAACCCTAATTCATTAAGAGGAACAGCTAGTTGTATAATATACTACTCGTATTTGCAACTAAATCGACATAGAAAGAGGTTTGTCGACCTTATGAATAATAAATAGATATTATAATAAATAGAGGTAATAAAGTTCTGAAAAGGATAACACTTTTTGGTGAAAACGACAGTAAGTAATATTTTGATACACGTGAGCAATTGTACGGATTGCGAAACTCAGGAAGCTGTGAGATCGAATCTGACATTTAAATAGAGTTGTGACCGACTCCTGGCACAGAAATTTACGGCCTTACTCATATATCGCAATAACTTCAGTATTAACTATCTCTATATCCAAACATGGATTTATAAATAATGCACACTTAGCACTGGTCTAGGGCATAACCGCAGAGAGGGTATCGGTTATTAAAAAACTTCTGGTAAAAAATTATATGTTTTCTTATGAAAAGTGATTTGCTACGTGAAATCAATTTGACGATATTATCGGGGATTTCGCTACTAATAAACCTAGCAAGCTAAAGCATAGCAAAGTGGCGAAGCTATCAGCTTTGTAGGGGTTTCTAATGGTTGCCGTTGAGCAATTAGTTTCAAAATAGGAGGTTCAGATGCCTGGGTGATCAGTAATCGATTGCTGAAAACAGAATTTGAAAATTCGAAACCGTTCTCGAGATAATCGTAGGACAGACGGACAGACGGACAGACATCGTGAAATCAATAAGTGACTTCGCAAGCTTCGCCACTTAATAAGTCAAGGAATCAGTATTTCAGCTACTAATGTATATCTTAAAATTGTAACTATTTTACTTCAGATTAAAAAAAACAACATAAAATTAAAAACTAGGGCACAATTTATTATGAAAACCTAGGGCACCAAAAAAGTAAATCCGGCGCTGTCTATACCTATCTCCTTTCAATGTCATTTACCGAAGAGTCTCTCTCTCTCAAGTTGATGCGATTTGAGCAAGGCCGTTATAGTTAGTGTGCTGCGAGTATTTAAAATAAAAAACTGGCCAAGTACGAGTGGGACTCGCGTATGAAGGGTTCCGTACCATCGTAATACATGTTTCTAGTAGGGGAGCCCCTTTTAATTTTTTATTTATTTTAATTTCTATTATTTGTTGTATTAGCGGCAACAGAAATACACATTCTGTGATAATTTCAACTGTCTACCTATTACGGATCGCTGACAGACAGACGGCGAAATAGGTTCCAGTTGGTTACCCTTTGGGTACGAAACCCTAAAAAAAACCAGAAGCACCCTTGCAACCCATTAAAGACAAGAGCTATCATACGTGTATAATACCATGATTTTGGTGAAAATTATGACCTGTGGTGTGCTTAATGGGATTATTGGTTATAAATAAATAATTTTTATTGTCATTTTAAGATCTCAATAATTGTAAAGCACTCCAACAAGAGTATATAAATTAATCTAGGGGGTTTCCAACACTTCTCTATGGAAAAACTATTGTATAAAAAAAAATAACTGAAATAGACGTTCGTATGTGTCCACCTTATAAATATATTATTATGTTAAAACATTGATTGTGTATCAATAGTAAAACAGAAATGGTACAACCAGTAATATGCTCATGTCTGAGACCTTAGTTGAGTATTGACCCAGATAGTAAATGTTAGAACATTTTTCAGGGCCAAGGCTCTACGACGATATCGTGGTATAATTTTTGTTAAACATAAAGGTTATCAATACTTGTAAAGGTTCATCCCCGATATTAAGGGGCATCGGATATTTTGCTATCGCTACTACAAAGCCGCTAATTGTACAATAGAAACATGTAAGTAAAAGGTCAAAAGCGCTCCAAATTATCTCATTTAAGCAGAATTAAACCGATTCTTATGAGACATTATTGTTCTTATTACGACATAGAGCCATGCTGCAGCTATATTATGGTTGTAGCACGAATTGGTCGGCTCGACCGGGGAAGAACCACGCTCTCACATAATACTAGCGTAAAATAGCAGCTTAACACTGTTGTGTTTCGTATGGTTAGTGTAGAGAACCGGAGACCCTTATTACTAGAAAAAAAGGCATTCCGTTTTAGTGTTTTCTATAACTCCTCAGGAGTGAAAACGCATTTACATTTTGATTCTTAATCGAGAATAGATGTAGACGTCTATGGGCCACAGGAAACAACTAGATTGATTTAGAAAGTAAGATTAAAAACTTCATCACTCCTTAAGTATAACCTATTATATAAAAAGGCAATTATTAAAATCGGTTCACAATTAACAAAGATATCATGACATAAGTCAAATATGAATTGAGAATCTCTTCCTGGACCCCTCTTTTTTGATGTCTGCTAGAAAACATTTTGTTAGCAAGCTATGTAATGTCTACGTCACACACGGCACAGGTCTCCTTTCATTTCAGTGAGCGATTAGTCCACTGCACTGCTCCAGAAATGTTATCGTGTAGGAACTGTACGTGTAAGAATATCCAGTACCCCATATCATCCTGCAGGTGCCGTAAGACGTGACAGAGGGACACAAATCAGGAGATGGGCAGCAGCGTCTTTCTAATAACGACTACAAATAAAAAAAACTGCGGTTGCCTAGCGTGGCAACTATGGCAAATATCCTCCCATGAGGCAATCTATGGGGGAGGCCTATGTCCAGCAGTGGACTTTAATAGGCTGCAACGGTATCTGTTCCAGAAATGATCTCTGATCCAAGATTTTTAATTACCACGTAATAATTTTAAAAGAAGGTTTACACGTGATGTTTTTCTTTAACAACGAGTGAACAACAACGAACGTGGTAGAATAGGACTTAAAATTACAATTAATGGTTTCATTGTTGCCGGCGAGAATCGAACCCGGAGTGTTCGTCTACTGAAAATTTACTGCGAACGCTTTGATGAAACTCGACACAAATCTATTTTGAAATTTATTACATTCAAAATAACTCACGTGAGGTAAAGCTTTTCGGGAATGGTCCAAATGCATGCCGCCGACTTCTACCAAGGCTGGCACCATTGGTCGAATACCGTTCAAAGTATGAAAAGTATTGACAAGCATTAACGAATAGTTTTTCGCCAAAATTCGTAAATCTGGTATGTTCGTTCTAAAGTGCTTCTCTAAAATGGCGCGTTCTTTCGCTTGCACCTTATAATAAAACCATGCTTTATATAATATGTTTAGGAACGTGTTCTCTAAGCGTTGGGCGAAAGTCATGCGGGTAGTGAAGCTGGTAGAAACAAATGGAACGTAGGCTGGATTGTCGGGCAATCCTATTCTGTTCGCTGACCATGGCACTAGATTACATGAAGATAATGCAACTTTAGGCGCTGTGTTTCCGTAAACGTGCAGTAGTCCGAGCATACAATCGCTGTTAAAGTTTTCCATTAAAATTACGTCGTATTCTCTTTTCAACGCGTCAGCCAAAGGTGACAAGGTCTTCAATTCTTCGCATATACTCACAGCCGCGTCTGCTAAAGGCTGAAATTCGGACAGCTGTCTCGAAATTCGATTTAGCACAGGAATCTTCGACAGTATACCTGAAGTTGTTTCAAACATGGATAGATCTAAAGACTCCAATCGTATTTCATAAATGCCTTCGAGACTTATATCAGTATAGTTTTCTATTGGATCCTTGAGAGGAAAGAACGACACTGTAGTTACTTGGTGTCCCCGTTCTGCTAAGGTTCGTAGAAGGGGCTCGAACACCATTTGATGGCTTTTACCGGTGTGGGGAAAAAGACCAAGGACTCTCGCGGAATGAACATCATTAGAAAAAGCACACAATAATAGAACTGACAGAATGAGTTTCGGCGGCATTGCGTGCGCGCTACCCGATCCGTGTTTTCAGGAATACTGTCGTGTCGCGTGAGATCATCTGCTCGTGTGGGCCACACTAGCAATGAAGCTATTTTAAAGTTGGGACGTGTAGGGTCGAGGTCTTACTGGAGTTTACATATTTAATGATTGTATTATGTAACTTCACGCATTATTTTCATGACACTTAGATAACTGAATAAAGTGAACTGATATCTAATATCTATATAGATGACATACATCATATATAATAGAGATGACATACATAATATGTTTTAATACTCAACACACGGGGTAAGCACGTGAGTATTCGACAAAAATAGAGTAGCTCATAGACTAAACACTCGCTGTGTACAGGGTTATTTTGCAATATACGGCCAAATTTGCAGAGAAGGTTCAGAATAAGTAATATAGGCGAAGAAAAATTAATTTAAAAAAATCACACACATTCTGTCCTATTTATCTTTTAAATTCAGAATGTCATTTATAAATATCTTACGCCTACTATTTTACTACGCACGCACACATTGCTAAGGGTCACTGGGTCTGCAAAAACGATATGAATTGAATCGCACACAGAGGACCGTGCGTACGCGTAATTGTTGCCCATAAATCATATTCAATTTAGAATAATGTATACAAATAAATAAAATTGAAGTGTTTGTTTGTAATGTCAAAATAACTGCTTTTTACTAAATGCATATGAAAGTATTTCCGGTACTTATAACAAAAACACAATCTTTAAAATGTTTGTCTGTGTGTCTGTCCGTCGTCTGTCTATCTGTCTGTTTGTTCCGGCTAATCTCCGAAACGGCTGGACCGATTCCGACACGACTTTCACTGGCAGGAAGCTGATGTTACAACGAGTAACTTGGGCTACTTATATTTTAGAAAAAGGATTAGCGCCTTATAAGACTGATGCCCTATGGTTCCATAAAATACGATTCGGCAGGTAACCAACCGACTCGTGCGTCCGCGTGGGTGGGTCTGAAGTCAGAATGGGACGATACATGAAGTACCTGAGCGTCTAGTCCCCCGGATTGAAAGGGTACCGGGTGCTATGCATAGACTGCTGCCCAATCCATGGGGACCAAGGGAAGATGTGCGTCGCGTCTATTCAGGAGTGATACAGTCCGTAACCTTGTACATGGGGCCTGTATGGGTGAAAAGGCTGGCCATCTGACGCTGTAGAACTAAAATCTCCAGTGTGAAGTGGAGGATGGCCATACGGATCGTGCGAGGATACCACACGATATCCTTGGAGGCGGCGACAGTCCTGACTTACGTTCTACCTTTGGACATATTGGCGGATGCGAGGGTATACGACCACCCAGTAAGAAGTTATGAGGTAACACACATAGAAAAAAACATACAGTCGAATTGAGTACCAGCTCCTTTTTTTAAGTAGGTAGAAAAGGTCAAAAGAGCTCCAAATTATCTCATTTATGCAAATATAAAGCAATAATCATAAGACAGTTTAGTGTTAAGTTCACTTCCCAAGGAAAGTTTTCCAAGGTTCCCAAGGAATGCCACAAAGCATAATCCATCGACTTACTACATCTCTTACTAGGTTGCTCCATCTAGTGGGGGGCCGCCTAACACTTCGCTTACCGGTACGAAGCTGCCTCTCGAGAACCTTTCTTCCCTATCGGTTGTCAGTTCTTGGGTTTCCCATGTAGAGTGAGTAGTAAAAATATCCACTACCGCATATCACCGTGGGAGCCGTGAGTGGCGACGGAGGGAAACAAGGGAGTTTTTTGATCTAAGTACATATTATTCCTTTTTTTTACGTGGAAGAGCCATGCTGCAACTATATTACCGGTATAGTTGTAGCACGAATGGGTCGGCTTGGCCGGGGAAGGACCACGCTCTCACAGAATACCAGCGTAAAATAGCAGCTTAACGCTGCTGTGTTTCGTATGGTGAGTGTAGAGAACCGGAGACCCTTTTTACTGAAAACGAGACATTCCATCTTAGTCCTCACTGGTGACAACGCATTTGCATTTTGATTCGTAATCGAGAATAGATGTAGATGTCTATGGGCCGCAGCAACCACATACCATCAGACAGGCTGTAAGCTCGTTTGTCACTCTTATCTTATAACAAAAAAGTTTTCTTCTTAAGTATATTAACTTGGATTTTTAGTACTGCAGTCACTAACTAAGCGTATAGCGTACATTATTATTTATTCTGTGGTAGCTGTTGCAAGTATTACCTACCTGAAACTCGAGCAACTCTGGCTCTCTCAAACTTCCTCGCCATGATGCGACTATGGGCGAGGCCTATGTTCAGCAGTAGACTGCCCTGTAACGGTAACTGCTTCAGAAATGTAGGCGGATTATAATTACCTCGAAATAATTTATTCCTCCCTCAGAAGGTTTACACGTGATGTTATTCTTTAACAACGTTACAGACTTAAATAGAATATGACTTAAATGGAATAGGAATTAAACTTGCAATTGATAATTTCATAGTTGCCGGCGGAGATCGAACCCGCGTTGCTAGCCTGCTGAAAATTTACAACGAGCACTTTTACGAAACTCGACACAAATCTATTTTGAAATGTATTAGATTAAAAATAACTCACTTGAGGTAAAGCTTTTCGGGAATGATCCAAATGCATGCCGCCGACTTCTACCAAGGCTGGCACCATTGGTCGAATGCCGTTCAAAGTATGAAAAGTATTGACCAGCATTAACGAATAGTTTTTCGCCAAAATTTGTAAATCTGGTATGTTCGTTCTAAAGTGCTTCTCTAAAATGGCGCGTTCTTTCGCTTGCAACTTATAATAAAACCATGATTTTATAAATATATTTAAGAACGTGTTTTCTAAGCGTTGGGCGAAGGTCATGGAGGTAGTGAAGTTGGTAGAAAGAAGTGGAACGTAGGCTGGATTGTCGGGCAATCCTATTCTGTCCGCTGACCATGGCACTAGATTACAAGAAGATAATGCAACTTTAGGCGCTGTGTTTCCGTAAACCTGCAGTAGTCCGAGCATACAATCGCTGTTAAAGTTTTCCACCAAAACCACGTCGTATTCTCTTTTCAACGCGTCAGCCAAAGGTGAAAACGTCTTCAATCCTTCGCATATACTTAGAGCCGCGTCTGCTACAGGCTGGAGTTCGGACAGGTGTCTCAAAATTTTATTTAACACAGGAATCTTCGACAATATACCTGAAGTTGTTTCAAACGAGGATATATCTAAAGCTTCAAATCTTTTTCCAGAAATCCCTTCGAGGCTTACATCAGTGTAGTTTTCTATTGATTTTTTTAGGGGAAAGAACGACACTGTAGTTACATGATGTCCCCGTTCTGCTAAGGTTCGTAGGAGGGGCTCGAAGACCATTTGATGGCTTTTACCCGTGTGGGGGAAGAGACCAAGTACTCTCGCAGAATGGACACCATTTGAAAAAGTACACAGTAATAAAACTGACAGAATGAGTTTCAGCCACATTGCGTGCGCGCTACCCGATCCGCGTTTTCGGGAATACTGTCGCGTGAGATCATGTGCTCGTGTGAGCCGCACTAGCAATAAAGCTATTTTAATGCTAAGATGTTTTTAATTAAAGTTGGGAAGTGTAAGGTCGAGGTCTTACTGGAGTTCACATTTTTAATTATTATATTATATAACTTCACGTATTATTTTAATGACACTTAGATAACTAAATAGAGTTAACTGATATCTAATATCTAACGCACATATAGAGATGACATCTATACATATAATAAAAATGTAAATAGCAGATGTCTGTACATTTTATATTTTTGTACTAAAAGTGATTGCGAGGTACTAAAAATAAGTAATTAAATACATTTCTACCATTTTTAGATTTTTCTGTCTGTCTGTCTGTATGTTTGTTTGTTAACGTATCACGTATAAAGTACTAATTTATATCGTAAGAATAGTTAAGGAAATTATTAAGTGGCTAAGTCTACTTCTATCGTCGTTTACACAGAAGCTCTATCATAAACGACTTAGAACTTTGAGCATATCGATTTATTTTGTTACCACTTATTCATACACTAATGATATAAATCGTTTAATATTCTCTTACCCTAAACGTCAAATTCTTTAAGTAAAACCTATATTCGCGAGCTACGCCGCGGGCACAGCTAGTACATAATATGTTTTAAACTCCACACCCGGGGTAAACACGTGAGTATTTGACAAAAATAAAGTGGGTCAAACGCTAAGCGCTCGTCCTAAATGTTAGGTACAGTACGCTACTTGTACTACCTAATTATCTATTCTGTGTACGCGAGCAAGTCGTGTATAATCACTTCTGACTTGTTTACCGCGTGCTCGGTGGCGAAGGAATACATCGTGAGGAAACGTGCAAGTCTTAAGAGTAAAATATTTTAAAATATTTCGCAACACGACTTGGAGGCGGGACTTCAATAAAATTTAAAATTCGATGGGATGGTGATATAAATATAATATCAAAAATACTGCGGTTTTTTTACATAACTTTATTTCAATTATTGTTTTGTGTTCACTTTTTGTTATTTAAAAACAGGTTTTTTATCATGGTCAGATTGTAGATATTGATGTTATGTAAATAAAAACTCATTAAAAACATGCACACAACCGATAGCGTCGTTCGTTCCTTCCGTAACTTTTCGGGCAGTACCTATGTTTATAGGTACCACAAAATTTCAAAAATGAATTCACAGACATCATGATTCACGAGGAACGTGGCGGACTATTTATCTTTACAAATAAATAAAATTGTAGTGTCTGTTTGTAATATTAGAATAACAGCTTATTACTAAATGCATATTAAAATATATACGGTTATTATAACAAAAAAAAATAATTTTGTCTGTCTGTTTGTTCCGGCTAATCTCCGAAACGGCTCGACCGATTTTGACGACATTTTCACTGGCAGATAACTGATGTTATAAGAAGTAACTTATGCTACTTTTATTTTAGAAAAAGATATATAATATTATATAATAAATGTATAGTTCTGCGTAAGAAAATAATTAAAATCCATAATATC